GGTCAGCCCCAAACACCCAGGGGACCCCACCACACCCTGCAGCTCGGTGGCCTGAGGCTCTGGCCCTAATGCCAGGTCCTGCTTATCTTCAGGGTCCCTCACATTCCCATGCAGCCCCCCATAGGCTTTTTCCTTTGCTGATCTCGGCAGCTCAGCTCACTGTTCTCTCTGTGCCTGCTCTGACAGCTCCCAGTGCATTCTCTGTGCTGTAAGTCAGTGGTCCCCAACCTTTGTGGCACCAGGGACTGGGGCTCCTATGAGAATCTAATGCCTGATGATCTGAGGTGGAGCTGAGGCGGTGATGCTGGCGCTGGGGAGCAGCTGCAAATACAGATGAAGCTTTGCTCGCTGGCCCGCCGCTCACCTCTCCAGTTCCTAACAGGCCACGGACCAGAAATGGTCCATGGTCCAAGGTTTGGGGACCCCTGCTATAGTTAACAGACTGACCCTGAGCCGCCTGGGTCTCAGCTCTGGTCTTGTGCCTGGCACCAGGCCTGACCAGAGTGGGCCCCAGTCACTTTGCTGAACAAAACGCACACTGTGCCGCCTCCATTTCTCACTGGTTCCCTCAATGTCAGCGTCTCCAGCTTCTAGAGTCTCCAGCGGCCTGACGACACTGTGGGCGCCTAATTCTTCCAAGCGCGGCCCCACATTTCAGCCCTCCTCCAGCCTACCTCCCCAGTTCTCTATGCTGAAGAGCTTGCTGAAGTTGTGGGCAACATAGGGGGCGATCTTTTTGAGGTCATGGGTTCGCACACGAGTGGCCAGCAGTGACTGGTGGGCATCCCTGAAGGTCGTGTCCATCAGCAGCAGCCCCTGGTGGTTCCTCACTGCTCGAGCAAAGCCCTCGGGCCCCTCCTGCAGCAGGATGTCTCTGAAGCCAGCCGGGGGCGGGCCTAGGGAAGACCAGGCCTGAGCACTCACTCTGCAGGCGGCAACCTCCTGTCTCCCCCATGAGTTGGCAGAATGGGTCTCACCTACCTATAGGCACTGCAGGGATAATGGGGTCTGTGGGGCTGGGATTGGTCTTAACAGGGATTGGGGTGGTCGGGCCGTTCACCATGACATGTCCTGTGGAGAGAGTGGGCAGCAGGTCAGGCAGGCCGGGCAGAGTCTGAGTTGAGGGCAGGAGTGAGAGTAGGTGGGCTCGGGGATGAGGGGACTCCTCCAGGATCCCTAGTCCTCCAGCTGGCCCCTGTCCTCTCCAAAGCTAGGCAGTGGAGACCTACTGAGGGCCACATAGATAGAAAAGAGGGGTCTCTAAGATCAGGAGCAAGGAAGGTGGGAGGGCAGGTGGGGGTGCTAGGAAACTCTCTGGGCAGGGGACCAGGAGCAAGGCATCTGGGGGGTAGGGCAGGGCAGTCTCGGGGCCAGACCGAGGTAGTACAGCAGCTTCTGGGCCCGGTTCTGTGCGGGCCGCAGCTGGAATAGCTCCGGGTTCTCGTCAATGAACTGGGTGTCCACGGTGCCTGCCAGGAACTGCTGGTTGTTGAGCACATTCTGCAGGAAGGGGATGTTGGTCTGCAGGACAGAGGTGGGTGGGAGGGTGTCACCATGCAGCAAAGACAGGAAAGGAGAAGCAGCTGAAGGTGTCACCTGGCCAGCACAGCTTCCCAAATTCCCCAGGACGCCATGCTCCCTGTGGAGTGGCATTTCCCCATTTCCTCACCACCACCTCCCCCTTCTGGCAGAGTCCCCTAAGCTGTCAGGGGGCTGAGCCTGCTTCCTCCTTGCTCACCCCAGATCATGTGCTGACTCCCACCTCCTCCTTCCTCAGGGATCTGAAAACAAGCACCTCCACACCTCCCACAGCAAAGAAAACGGATGAGGGCTTCCCACAGCGAGAGTGGCATGTAGCCGCCACCCCCTGCACACAGAACACACGGCCACGCCCTGGCAGGCTAAGGCCCCTCCTCATGGCTAAATCCATGGGCATTTTCCCGCCCTTCTAACAGCTCCACCTGCCATTCCCTCCCCGGGCTTCCAAGACATCTTGCCCTCCTCCTTCTCCCTGGTCACCAGTGGGGACTCCTTTTATCCCTGGAGGATGGAGTCATCAGGGCTGTCACTGGGCTGCTTCTCATACAGTACACTCTCCCTGATTGGCCTCACCCTTGGCCTCCGGCTCCAGAATCAGGACCCCAAAGTGGAAACGCCTCCTGGGCATCTCTCCTTGTGTGTCCCTCGCATAAGCTCAAGTCTAAAAACAGCTTCCCTCACCCTGTTCTCCTCTGCCTTCCAGGGTGCCTCACTGTCCACCTGGTTGCCAAAACCTACGGTCCATCATCCTCACCACCCACTCCTCCCATGTCACTGGTCAAGCCGGGTGATTCTGCCGTAGCCATTTCTAGCCGATCCAAACTTGCCTTGTGCTCACACCTCACCTTTGCACCTGCCTGGTATGCTTTTCTTGGAAATCAGGTTAAAGGCCTCACCGCCCGCCCTAACCACAGAGCTGACACCCCTTTCTAGTTAGGCCTCCATGGGACCAGTCTCAGAAAGCTTCTCCCTCAGCCTCACCATCTTTTGGCTACATTCCTCACACACCTTTAAGTGTTTTGGGGAGCAGGGGTACTGTCTGAGATACCTGTGTCCATGTGTTTCATGCACACAGACCCTGAGTTCTGCTTATTAAATGGCAAGGTGATGGCATGAAGCTGGGGCAGGGCGAGTCCAACCGAGAGGCTGCGTGGGGGCCTGGGAACCAGTGCTAAGAGATGTCCCATGACATGAGGCCATGTGGCTGAGATTCCTGTGTGTGTGCCTGTGACCACATAGCTATAGCCCTGGCTATCACTTCAGAGAAATCATCTCCATGTGTCACCCATTCATGATCTGTTGGTACCTTCGGTAGGGGGCTCCAGGCCCAGCATGGACTGCTGTGCCCCGTGGCTGCTCCAAGAGATTCTACCTGTCCCCCTAAGGTTCCCTATTGCCTGAAGGCCTAGGTGGAAGGCCGCCTCCCCCACCAGCATCCCACAGGTGGTCACTGCAGAGTGGGACCCAGCCAACATTGCCTCATGCCTGTCTGGAGTGACAGGTGAGCCTGTCCCTGAGATTAGTCCCTGCCCCTCCTAAAGACATGAGGACATTTCAACTGGGCCAAGGCATGGTATTTGAGAACAGAAAACCAGTTAAACCATCTAAAGAACCTAGAAGTGCACAAGGGTGAGAAAGATCCTCAGAGGCTTCCCCTTTCAGGCTCTGCTTTTCCCTTCTGTAGCCCCCTCCCCCTCTGCTCCGCGGGGGCAGGAGCCAGGCCGATCTGGTTCCTGATGTGCCCTAACTCCCAGCACAGGGCAGCACATGGTAGATGCTAGCAACATGTCTTTAGTGAAAAAACATTTTTGATGGGCAGAATAGGAACAAAGGACTAGCAGATGCCACTGAGCGTCACAGTTGACCCCGTGCTAGGATCCAATGCCTTCATTTGACAAATTCCACAGCTGAGGTCCTGGGAGTGGCAACAGTGAGAAAGGCTGCCAGCTGCCAGGTGACTACGCCCCCCAGAGGCTGCGTCGTTTCCTCTCCTCTCACCGGGCGTAGTAGATAAGTACATACGATTGATACCCCTTGGTCTAGATGAGGAAATTGTTTCAGTGGTGAAATAATTTGCCCAAGGTTACCTGCTGTGCCAGGCAGGATTACAGTTCAGTTTGTTTCCGAGTTCCCACCCACCAAGCCCCTAGGACTCAGGCCACGTAGCCTGCGGAGTAGGAGATACCCCAGGGGTTTGGCGACTTCCCTTGTTTCAAAACTGGGCGAACCACTACGAAGAGCCAGGGTGTCCCACCTGGTTCTGAGCCCTCAGCGCTCGCACCCCAGCCCTGGCTCTCGGAGGCAGGAAGCTGGGGCCTCCTCACCAACCAGGAGCCCATCCTCCGCTGAGCCTAGCTAATCCCAGGCGGCCCTCCCAGGGAAAGGGCCCGGCAGAGCCAAAGCGGGAGGGAGGGGCTGCAGGCAGGCGAAGACCACTGACGCACAGCTTCAAACGGCGTGCCTCCGCCGGCCTGCTGGGAAACCACGCTGCGCAGACCAATCGGGCCGGAGGCGGAGACCGGTTGGCTCCCGAGC